TCCTCTCTCAACTCACCTTCTCAGTACTTCATTCTGACACCAGCCGTGTTGCACCCACACATCAGTTCTCCGGTGGATACCAACTGGGTGTCCTAGAATTTAACTCGATTCTGACACCATCCACCTAGTCAGATACAAGACTGCTGCCACTTCAGACCGAATTACACGTCCCAGGTTTGACCTGTGCTTCTGACCTTACCAGTTGTAAATCGAAGCTTCACACAACACCCCTCTTTGGGTTCCATCGTTTGCTAGAATGGCTCAGGGAACCACGTTTAACCATTTATTATAAAAGGCTACAACTCAGGAATAATTAGATGGGGGAGATACATAGGGGCACGGTGATTCCATGTCCTCTCGGGCCATGCCATCTTCCACATGCTCCGCGATCTGGAAGCTCTCTGCTCTGAACCCTATAGCTGGGGGATTTTTACGGAGGCTTCCTCACATAGGCACGATCACTCGTTAACTCAATCTGCAGACCCTCGCCTCTTCCCGAAGGATCGGGTGTGGGGATGCAAGTTCCAAGCTTCTAATCATGACTTGGTTTTTCGAGTGAAAAACCAAGCCTCCATCCAGAGGCACACCAAGATTTGCCTCATTAGAACAAAAGACACTTCCATCACCAAGGAAATTACAAAGGTCTTAGGAGCTCTGTGCCAGGAACCAGGGACAAAGAGTAAAATATTTTTCTTCTTATAAATCACAATATTATAGTCTCCAACCCCTCCTTGGGAAGCAGAGAGGAGCAGAGGTACAGTGGTATACTGTGTACATGAGTGAAGTTTGGATAACCAGGTTCCTTGGCCACAGAAGGAAAACTAGACAACTCAGCGCATGTGGCCCGGTAAACCGGCACAGTCTGCTAGTCAGAACTTGCCTTGCTCTTGGCTCTGCTCCCAGTCTGGTACACAGCTTCACAGAACTCATAACCCTCTCGGCCTCAGTCTGTTTATATATGAAATAACATGGCTTAACAGCCCTAAAAATTGTGACATCCAAAATATATTAAAACAAAAAAGTACCTACCAAGCATTAAAAAGCAGATCCTAAGAATGAATAACCCAAGCGGCGTTTTGGGTTTTTTTTGTTTTTTTACCATCTAGTGTATGGAAGACATTCTGCTAGGATGCTGCAAAGGTACCACACCGTTCTGGTCAAAAGGCACATGCATGCTAGTAGGACTCTAAGACAAAACTTAAGAACCAGATTAGATGGGAGTATTTATATAATGCAAATAAGAGTTTCAAAGACAAAAGTAAAATTAGTCCAAATGAATATACATTTGTTAGTGGAAATGCACAGAAAAGGGTCCTAGGAAATACATACCAAATTGCTACAAGTAACAGGAGGGAAGGGCAGTGGAAGAGGGAAGGGGTGGTAGAAAAGAAGGGTGATTTAGAAAGTGTTCATGTCGGACATAAAGCTCATTTTTTAGAGAAATGGCAAAGCTAAAAGTCATGCACCGCATAACATTTCGGTCAATGAAGGATCATGTATGACAGTGGTCTCCTAAGATTATATCGTACCACAAAAGTACTTCCCATTGGGTTAGAATTGCCTACTCAGCACAGTAACATGCCATACAGGTTAGTAGCCTGGGAGCAACAGCCTGTACCACGTAGCCTAGGTGTGTAGTAGGCTGTACCATCTAGGTTTGTCCAAGCACATGCTAGGAAATCGCCTAATGATGCGTTTCTCACAACATATCCGTTGTTAAGCAACACGTAACTCTAGTTTACTTTTGGCACAAACTTCAATTTCAAGTTTTATGAGAAAGTTCAGGCAAGTAAAATGTCCTCAGAGTTTGGGATATTAAACCACTGACATGAACAAATCAAGTACCAACTTTTAAGAGAGTATATAATTCTATTAAGATATTTTAAAGACTGGGTGTGGTGACTCGCATCTGGAATCCTAGCACTCTGGAGGTCAAGGCGGGAGGATTGCTTGAGGCCAGCCTGAGCAAGAGTGAGACTCCCATCTCTACTAAAAATAGAAAAAATTAGCGGGGCATGGTGGCCAGTCTGCAGTTCCAGCTACTCAGGAGGCTGAGGCAGGAGGATCGCTTGAGCCCAGGAGTCTCAGGTTGCAGTGAGCTAGGATGACGCCACCGCACGCTAGTGGCCAAGTGAGACTGTCTCAAAAAAAAAAAAAAAAAAAGGTTATTTTAAGAGGGTAGTTTTTGTTTCATCTGCAAGATGAAACAGGAAAAAATGGCTCCTGCATGGTCACTTCAGCCCTTCCTTCCTCTACTAGTTTCATCAGTGAATGTGTGAGCCCAACCTCACCCCCTCAACCCAATTGCCTTCCATTCCCTCAGAAGCAGTATATTTCTCTTACTCCCATAATTCCACACAGCAAGTCCCTGCTTTAAACACACCTAGTGGCTTGTGCCTGAATGCTCTGCTTATGTTCTCCTCTTCCCCTTCCCCTTCCCTCTCCTCCAACATTATCCAACTCGGCAGAGAGAATGCCAAAGCAGTGCTTACCTATCCACTGTGCTCTGACTGGGTGGCAGATTACCCAGGGACAGCTGCCATGTGTGAGGTCAAGAAAAAGGTTGGGAACACTTTTAAGCCTCAGGAACTTCTGTACTCTTTTTCACCCTCATTGTAGGGGAAACGGACTACAAAACACTGGAAAAGAATCCTTGACACACCAAAGTAATCATGTGACTGCATCTGTGCACATTCATAGTCAAAGTTTACAACACAGAGACAAGGCCATTCGGTGCCTTGCTTTTTAACTATCAACCACATTCAACAAAGGTATAAAACACAATTACTTTATTGATTTCTTACAATCAAATACTGCCAACTAGCATTACTTCCGCTCATGCATCATTAAAAACAAAGGACATTTCCTTGGTATTTTCAAATGATGCATTATACAAAAAACAAAGTTAGAACTTAAAATGCACCCTGATTAATTATGTAAACTGGTAATTTGTTTTAAAAAGCATAACTAATAATTTGGTTCATTTCGTAAAATGGAAATTTAAATATTTCTCCTGATAGTCTTGAGGTTATCATTATGTTATGAGTAGTGCAAAGTGTGGCACATATAGTTTCATCTAGAAAGGTGTGTATTTTACACACCTTATTTAAACAAACAAAATGTGCATAACGAAATGCATACAGTCAACGCATGATAAAAAGCATGTTTCAAATATAAGGCAGTCCATCAGGCCACCATATTATTTAGGTTTTACATTATCATTTATGGCATTATAGATTAATTACACATAACATACTTTTGTATATTTTAACCCTGAAGATAAGAAAAATAATTGTTGTTTGAAAAATTATTCCAAGTAGCCATTTGGTTTTGTATCAGGAGAAACTGAACCTCCAAGAGTTTAGTGTCTTGCCAAGTCGGAATCATTAGCTCGAGTCAGTGAATCAGATATGCGACATATTTCACAGTGACTGTTTCCCAAGTCCTGGCAATGCCTCTTCTCCCACAGTATGCCAGATGATGAAGCATTTCCGGGATTACCCTCGTATATGGTTTTCCCTTTTTTTGCTTAACTGTATTACTGTATTATTTCCTCTTCTGTGACCTTCCATTTTAATTATTCATAAGTCCTTTCAGAATATCCTCAGAGAGATCCATAAGGGGAAGTTCTGGAGATGGAAAATCCAAGGGAGGAAGATTTGGTATTGGAATGTCCTTGGCTTTCCCGGTATTTGCTGCAAACTTCTGCCAGGTTGAAGAGGCTGTAGCAGTTTCTGAATGTGGTGGCAAGCTCCATAACTCTGACTTTTCTACAAAATCAGCATCTACATCCAGCTCCTTTTCTGTGGGACCTTTTAGTAGTCTGGCCTTTTCAGCCTTTAGTTGTTTATTTTCTTTCCTTAATCTTTCATTCTCAGCCACAAGGAACTCCACGTGCCTCTTCAAATCTGCAATTTTGGTTGCCTGCTCCTCTATAATTGTTTTATCATCTTTTGGGGCTTTGCTTCCAATACATGGCTCTGTTGGCTCACTCTTCTGCTGAAGTAAAAACAGTAGCGTGTCTGGATCCCTGTCAAAGATCCCCTGAATTTCAGGCAGGTGTTTCTCTCTGGAAGGGCTGTACTTCTGAGAAAGAAGGGGGCTCTGGCCCTCTGTGTCCTCAGCAGAGGGTTTGTGAGATGCCTGAAGATGGGTAGCTACATCCTTGTCTGTGTTCTGCTGAGCTTTCAATCTTTCCTCACGCTTTGCCCTTTTCCACCTCTCCTGGATGAGGAGGAGCTGTTTCATGTGGCTATCCCTTTGCAATTCCAGTGATAAATGAGCCTATTAACACAGAAAGAAAGACACAATTTTAAGCATTTACTATTTTAAGTCTCTTTAGTAATATCCAATATATACTACTCCAAGGACCCTCCTTTCTGAGCAACTCAGTAACACTTAGAATTTATATACCATGTTTGCATTCAATGAAACCTCAAAAATTTTTCAAAATAACTAGGTCTTAAGCTAAAACTTTTATTCATAAACAAAACACTATTCATTCAGAAAGTCAAAACTCCTATACTCAATCAACACGCTAAATGTGCCTTACTCCATCTGCAAATGCCATTTGTATTCAAAAATAGAAATTTTCCCTCTTTAGACACGTTATCTCTACAAATAGTTGAAAAGAAAGTCTTGGCCAGGCTCCGTGGCTCACACCTGTAATCCCAGCACTTTGGGAGGCTGAGGCGAGATCGCTTGAGGCTAGGAGTTCAGGGCTGCAGTGGGCCATGATTGGATCTCTGCGCTCCAGCCTGGGCAACAGAGCAAAATCCCATAGTCTCCAAAAAGATAAAAAAAAGTCTTCCTATTACTAGGGTGTTTAGAAGGCTCAATGCACACCTGTGTTGTATAACCAGGTTCTATATTGTCAAAGGAAGCATAAAGAATACAACACAACTTTTAAGTTCCCTTGGTTCAGTTTGAGGAGCTTTTTCCTGCTACTGACATCCCTCACAGAAATGGTATCTTTAATTCAGTCACACAAATATTTACTGAGTATCTCCTAGGTACCTGCCTCTTTTATAATCAAGAAATGTTTGGATAGCTCGGGCGACCCGGGCTTCTGTGAAACGTGGCGGTCGGCTGGGACCGTAACACAAGCATGACCATATGAAGGAAGAGGAAGGTTTACCCAAAGATGAGGCGACTGAATCGGAAAAAAACCTTAAGTTTGGTGAAAGAGTCGGATGCTTTTCCGAAGGTTCCTGACAGCTATGTGGAGACTTCAGCCAATGGGGGTACAGTTTCTCTAATAGCACTTACCACTATGGCTTTATTAGCCATTATGGAATTCTCAGTATATCAAGATACATGGATGAAGTATGAATATGAAGTAGATAAGGATTTTTCTAGCAAATTGAGAATCAATATAGATATTACTGTTGCCATGAAGTGTCATTGTAAGTACACCTTCAACTCAACGAATCTATATGTAGTGTATGGTTCAAACAATTGTCAATAAAAAGTAAAAACCAAAAAAAAAAGAAATGTTTGGATAAAGGCATTTTTAAAAACGAGGCAAGCCCTCCCAAACATAGAACGCAATTTTTAAACTATCTTTAACAAGCAAAGCATAGTCCAGCTGTGTGAGCTAATGGTCGAATATGAGCTAATGATCCGGAAAGGTCCTAAGAGGGTCTCTAAAGATAAATCTGGTGATCTGAGATCTGTAACCACTAGGAAAAATGCTGGAAGTTTCCTCATGCCATGTCTGGGACATCCATACAGTTCGTTTAGTTTTAATTTCCTTCTTGAAGCACTTTTATCTTGCCTATTTAATATATTTTTGACTAGAGTGTTTTGAAAGGGGCACAATGCTTTATTTTATACATAATTCAAAAGTCTCTACAAGAAAATCTTTCTAACCCTTGTTGCAAATATTAAGAACATGTCTCACCTGCTCAGATTGTGTCAGCTTCATGGCTTCGGAAAGATATGCTGGTAAAAAAAAAAAGAGGCACACTAAAATATAAGTATCTTCATTTTATAATTAACAGATAAAAGGAAGAGTTTCAATATTCCTTATATGACAAAAGAACTGGTCTTAAAAGCGATTCTCCTATAACTTGAGAGTAAAAAAAAAAAAAGGACAGGATTCTTAACCTCTCCAAAAAAAGATGTCAGTGGTAATGAAATCTAAATATTCCCTTCCCCATCTTGAAGGTTTTGTTCTTTACCCCCTGTAGATTTTACAATTAAAATGAAGATGGGCCAGGCACGGTGACTCATGCCTGTAATCCTAGCCCTCTGGGAGGCTGAGGCAGGAGGATCACTTGAGCTCAGGAGTTCGATCTAGATCAGCCTGAACAAGAGCGAGACCCTGTCTCTACTAAGAAATAGAAAAATTATCCAGGCGTGGTGGCACGCACCTATAGTCCCAGCTACTTGGGAGGATCACTTGAGCCCAGGAGTCTGAGGTTGCAGTGAGCTATGATGATGCCACTTTACTCTAGCCCAGCGACAAAGGGAGACTGTTTCAAAAACAACCAAAAAATAAAAACCAAAAAACCTGAAGATAGCCTAATCACAAAAATAGGTATAGGGAAGATTAAAATTAAACAAGAACCTAACAAAACCCTATTACTCATTATGTTCACAAAAATATCAAGAGATTACCAATGACTTTTTATCCATCTGAATACCTGGACTATATCATTTTGGCCTCCTACAGAACCACTTTTAATGAGCTATGCCATCAGCCTACTACAAATTGGTAGTTAAAAACTCTAAGAACTTGTTGACATAGTCTATTTACCGTAAGAAAGTTAATGAGGACAGAAAATGTCATTTATGAAGACCTTTGACAAACTTTTCTGTCATCTTAGGATCAGATCCTGAGTGATTTAATTTGTTTGAATTCAAATAGCCAATGTAAAAATCCTTACTTTTCTTCTTTGGGCTGACTGTTAGAAAGCTTAAGGCAAGTTCTCCTTCTATAAATATGCAAGAACTCACGGTACATTTTGTGAACTATACTCTCAGTCCTTTCCCATTTTACCTTTCTATAGATTTCCTCATCTACCAATTCTTAATTACATTCTGTATTTCATTGTTATATTCCTCTGTAAGACACTTTATATCCTTTCTGGAACAAGATGAGATATAAATAACAAGTACTGTATTATTAATAATAAATCATGCACAATCTCCGTTTTTTATCTCTTGCTTACTATAAACTTTTTTGGCAACTTTCATTCCTACATTAAGTTCCTTTTTTGCCTTTTTACAGATACCACAAAGCACTGCTTTCTGTCTACTCTTAATCCAAACATTTTAATGATTTTTCTGATTTCATGACTTAGAATTGTTGTCTCCTTGGATCTACCACAGTCCTTGAGATATAAATTAGATGCTCCAAGAAAGAAAAAACATACAGTTGGTAAAATAGTCTTTGTTCCAACCATATTTACCATACTTACATTTTTTCCCTCTTGTTCTTGTCTTTTATTTGTGTACTAAGTCTGTATAGCTGCATACTATTTCTTTCCTCTTGTTCATGTTTAAATCTGTTGGGACATTCTGTCTGCTCTGCTATTGCTCTGATACAGTATGCAGGAATGTTCTTAGATATCCTTCCCATCTTGCCTACATACATGTCTGTCTGAACTATAGTTTGTTTTAAATGCACTTTTCTAACAAACAGAACAGTTTTCACAAAACCAAGTTTAAACCAACTGAAACATCTCCCTTTGTAGAACACTGAAACTGTATAACATGACAGAAAAGGTTACCCAAGGATACGCCAAAGCACAAATAATTCAACAAAGAATCACACTGTCATTTAAAGTATTTCCCACATTTAAATCTTACAACTGGGGCTTTTTTTTTTTAAGTTATTTTAAAAGAAAAAAAATTTTTAGTATCTGATTGCATGGTCATGGATTTGCTCCACAGATTCATATAGGAACAAATGCCTACCAAGACAAAGTTTAGGAAGGGAATATCTATCTCAGAAAAATCTAACAATTTTGGTTAAACTGCTTCCTTCAATTATGACACAAGGCTAAAATTCAAAGTAGAGATTAAGTAAATCATGGGGAAAAGGAACTAAGGAAACCTGAAGAACTTATTATTTCTCAAAATAATAACCAATTACTATTCTATCAGGTCTCCATTAAACTACTACCAAAGCACATAATGTGCAGCAAAACATCACCTCTACATGATAAAGACTGCTCTGCACTAGAATCATTTTCATGTTACCACAGTTTCACAGGAAGGCCCAGGTTAAGATTTGCTTTTAACCAAAATGTTGATCAAATACATGTAAAATAACTGTATTTACTGTATATACACTGAAGATGAGAGGTCTGCTCATCTTCTGAAATGTTCATTTTGAATTCTAAGTATTATCAATGGCTGTTATTAACTTCTCATTTAAGCTTTTTTTTTTTTTTTTT